CCGTGTTATCCACCACTGTATACTGCTCTACCCACTCACCCAGTCTCTCTCAAATAGAGTGAAAAGGTAATTAGGGAGTTCACCCTGGTCCCACAACGGAGTCCCTACTCCTGGGTGACCCTGCAAACCCACCCAGAAGCTTCCTTTAAGTTACGAAGTAGCCGGAGGGCTCTTTGTCTCAGACGATACCCAAGTTAACTAATGTGGGACCAGGTGTGGAAACCTCACCACTTAACACTTCTATGCGTAATAGCTGAGTGCATGCGAGGCGGACAGGTTAACCACGGAAATAAACAAACCTGCTTCGCCCCCTCAGAGAACTCTCTGATGCTGAACTCTTGGTCGAAATAGGCCCAGATAAGGAAGGAGTAAATTCGAGTCCGAATCCAATTGACGGGGTTGGAGACTCCGAGGATGATCATCTTGGTTTTCTGGCGCGGCTGGGGCTGTTGTTCCTCCGTGCTGTAGCTGCGCCGAGGGTGGACAAGGAAAGATGCAAGGGCTGCGGGGAATCCCGGAGGACTGAGTAGGCGGCAGCTGGAGCTCCCAGCAGACCGCGCCGAGGCCGCCTCAGTCCAAGCTCCTCGAGGAAACGGAGCCACTCCCGAGCCAAGGCGGCGGCGGCAGAAACAGCAGAGTCCAGTCAACAGTGGCCTCACCTTGGCCGCACCAGGAGTCCGGAGTCGGGCGGCCCCACCGGACAGGTGCTGGGAGAACAGCAATCCGGGAAGCAGGCGAGCGGCCAGCGCCATTTTTATGACCTTTCACCGCTGCGCTTGCCAGTGCCGTACCGAAAGGAAGTCGGCGGGAAACCACCACAGCGAGAAGGGGGGGGTGGGGAGCGGGGGGGACAGGTGCATGGAGGACTGGAGCGTAAAGCTGGCCTCCTGTTGCTGACTCTGATAAACCCGCCCAATCTCAGCTTTCCTGGCATACCGTATCATACCGAGACTTTTTGGCCCCTGCGTTCGCAACCAGCTGCTCTCTCGAGTCCGCCCGCGTCTCGGACCTTTTCTCCCCGGGTCGTGTTTCCGGACGGATCGTGAACTGAGGAATGTGTTGAGACTGAGATTCCGAGGCCTTGGAAGAGGACGAGCGTGAGGAACCATGGGCGGTTCCCGCGTCCCTGTGCCGCGGCTCGAAGGCGTTTCGCGGGAGCAGTTCGTACAGCACCTCTACCCGCAGGTGAGGCCCTCGCGCGGGGCGAAACCGTGGGAACTCAGAGGAGACCAGCCCCTACCACTTGGGGCGGCTCCGAACTGGTCTGCGACCCGGCGGGTGGAGAGGAGGCGACGGGCGGCAGAAGGTTGCTGGTTGACTCTGCGGCTAAGGGAGAGGGTGCTTGGGGGATGTCGAGTGTCTGTTGAATTTTCCAGGAAAAACAGCTTTAGGTTTCTGGGGAACAGGATGACCGCTTTGAGTTGAGTGCAAGAGGCATTTTTCCCCAAACTCTTTACTAGATACGAAGAGTGGCGGTGCAGAACCCTATTAAGAATGACGTCTGCCGTTGCCACAGCGGTGAAGGCCGGCTACTTCTCCCTACCCGGGCCGCGACTCCTTATCTGCTGCTGAGTGTCCTGGAGTTGTGAGCAAGATTAGCGTCCCCTCCTCACCGTCCCCATCCCTACCCACCGCGGTTTTGGGAACGATGCCTGTCAGTCTACTCCAAGTTACTGGATTTGGATTTTTCACTCCCCTGGGCCAACAGGGAAAGCAGTGGGCATCCCCCAGGAAACGTCCTTTGGTCTTGGATTCTAATTATGTTGGTTCTAGTTCAGACGTTGCAATTTTTTAGGTGTGTAATTAGAATCTTAGTTTTTTAAAAGGAGACAGTATTAGGTGGGGGTGGGGAACCGTGTATTTACTTGCAGTGCTTTGCTAGAGAATCCAGCAGTCAGAAGAACTGGGAATAAGGAATCCAGCAGTTATTTAACGAAAAAAAAAAATGCGCAAGGTTAAAGCTAGTCTCTATGATAGAGGGAAAAGACACTAATGTTTTTTACCTGATACTCTTTAAGGATGTTGCTTATCTACAGTTCTGAGTATTTTAAGAGTCAAGGATGACTTTTTTTTTTATTTTCTTTTGGGAGTTAGCAACCTACAGGAGAGGATTCAAGCCTTCTTCTTTTTTGGGGAGTACTAGATGGACTGTTCTTGTCTTCCTCACAACTCTCCCCTCCACCAATATATCTCATAAAGGGCATTAAAGGCCCTTGTATATGAAGAACTTGAGGGGAAAGGGGAGGCCAAAAACCTGATTGAAAAAGTGAGCAAAAAACCCTGAATAATTCACAAAAGAAATATAAAAATGACCTATACATATGAAGAAATGTTCGGCTTTGTAAGAGAAATGCAAATTAAAACTACACAAGGATACCCAAGTCACTTGATTATAACCCAGTGAATAAAATAAATAAATGAAGTTCATTTTTACCTGAGAATGCCAACTCGTAAATGTAGAAGAATTGATGGAATTTTTTTAAAAAATCACTTTTTTGCATCCATCATGGCAATACTTGATTCAGGCAGAAATTACCAATGGATCAAAGTTAACATTACAAGTGATAGGATAAAATATCTTATGCCACTTGATGGGCACTGAAAAGAACATAATATTCCTTCTGTAGTACTTCCTAAAATGCATAACCTGAATCTAATCTTGAAGAAACATCAGACAAACTCAGACTGAAGGGTATTCTATAAAATAACGACTCTTCAAAAATGTCAAGGCCATGGAGGATAAAAGCAGCTATTCCAGATTATAGGAGACTAAAAGAGATCTGATAGCTAAATGCAATGTGGCATCTCAGATTGAATCTGGGCCAGGAAAAGAAATAATTATAAAAGATATTATAGGTATAGTTAGTGATATTTGAATATGGGTTGTGAATTAAATAATATGTATTAAATGTATCTGTCAATTTTTTTTATTTTGGTAATTATCCTGTAGTTATGTAAGAGACTGTCTTTGTTCTCAGGAAGTACACATCAAGTATTTAGAAATAAAGGAACTGATGTCAGCAACTTAACCTCAAAAGGTTCAGGAAAAAATTATATACAATAGTATGTTTCTCTCTGTACACGCACACACAGTGAGAGAGAGGAAATAATAAAACAAATGGGTGCAAAATGTTAAATTAATAGTTGGTGAATCAGGGTAAAGGATGTATTGGAATAATTTGTACTGTCCTGCAGCTATTCTATAAGTTTGAAATAGTGTTAAGTTAAACAAGCAAAAAATTTGTGCTATAAAGAACACATTTCAATCAATGCAGCCCAAATACAATACAATACAGTACAAAAAGTACTATAAAGTATTTTTGTGATAAATAAAGCTTACTCATGAAAATGCCTTGTATAATATGCAGATTTCTTTTTTTCTAGGTTATTGATGGTACCACTATTGTGTTTTTTTTTTCCTCTTTGTTTTAGTCTTACAATTTTGTTCTAGGTATATTACATGGGTTTTCTTCCTGTTTTAGTGACAGTGTGAGCCATTGAAAGCTTTGAGTTTGAGCATCTTGAGATCAAGGATCGTATCTTGTTTTTTGTCTCTCTAGTGCTAATACAGCTCCTGATGTATGGTTGGATTCACTAATTTTTTTGTTATGTTTTTTCCCCTCATTTAACAGAGAAAACCACTAGTGTTGGAAGGAATTGATTTGGGGGCGTGTACAAGCAAATGGACGGTGGATTATCTAAGCCAAGTTGGAGGGAGGAAAGAAGTAAAGATTCATGTTGCTGCAGTTCCACAGATGGACTTCATTAGTAAGAACTTTGTGTATAGGTATTTTCTTCTGAGGTTTACTCTGGGAGTACAAATAACGTTTGAAAAACCTTTAAAAAAGTTTTGCTTTATTACACAAAGATCATATGTTATTTCATCTTTTGGCTAGTTTGATATAATTTTGGGATAATTTGCTAATTTTTAAAGAATGACTTTTAAAAGATAAGAATTCTGAGTTTACGTAATTATACAGACATTTCTAAAGACTGTTTTTTAAAATAGGGTATATACCGTATATCTTCTGGAGTCATGAGCGGACAGAGAATTTCTTTAACTAGAGTTAGATTACATCTAAAGTTGAATGTGGTATATTCATTGAGTGCCTGATTAATTGATCCTACCATATTAGTAATTGTTTTCTAGAATAAGAAATTCTAAGGTTTATCTCCATAACCTGTTTTGAGTTTTAATGTCCATATTTTTGCAAAATTTTTAAATTCCAAATTTTTTAAAATAAGTATAGGCCCATGGTTTCTTTTTCTCACCTCTTCAGAAACATAGGACAAGTAGTTGCTATATCAACATGTATAACTTTAAAAATCATACTTCGTTTTTACTTTTGAAAAAAAAAAAACCTTAAATATCTTTAACTTTACTCATGGTTGTCATTTGTATGCTTTGGAATGTCTTAAAGGTCTTAAAGAGACATTCAAAAGCTGCTAAATACCTAAACTTGGAAGATTTAAGTGCTGTAATCTTGTAGATTTAATATGCTGTTTGTTCCCATGGGTTTCGTTAAAAGACAAACAGCTTCCAAATTTTGAGCATGTGCAATTCCCAGCAAGTTCAAGCTATTGAAATACCATGTAGTTCACAAAAGCCTTCAGTTTAGAGATGAGTTAAATGGAGCTTCTAATGACTGGGGCCATTCCTTTCTCATTAGAATTTTTAAGCTCAGATACCAGCTGCCAAAGCATTTCTTAGCTTTTGATCTTCAGAATATTTACTGTTACATTTTTGGTTTTTAATAGGCCGTTAATTGAATTGAATTGCCATAAATTTTTCCAAGTGATTGTAGGAACTGTTCATTTTTTATTAAATCAAGGAAGTGCTGGCATGATTAGTGTTTTGCAGCCTGAAGTTAATGATGTTTATTTTCCAAAGGGGCCAGTGCCATAACAAATGGCTATTGAAACTTCATCCTGAATTGCCTTGATGTTTTGTCATGTCTTTTAAACTTTCCAAAACTTGTTTTTGAAGCACATAAATTATGTAATAGTTCCTATCCCAACTTCTTCCAAGTCTTTCACTAGAGCTCCTAAAAAAATTGCAAATTATTTTCTTACTGCAAGGAAAAAAAAAAGATTTATTCATTTTTAGCAGTTATCAAACCAAACCAAACCTGTTGCCGTAGAGTCGATTCCAGCTTATAGTGACTCAGTTTGACCGAGTAGAACTGTCCCATAGAGTTTCCAAGGCTGTAAATCTTTAAGTAAGCAGACTGCCATATCTTTCTCCCGTCGAGTGGCTGGTGGATTCGAACCGCCAGCCTTTCGGTTAGCAGCCAAGCACTTTGACCACTGTGCCACAGTGAGTGGGAAAGAAGAGATCAGAAAATAAGAAATCCTGCATACATATGTATCATTTTTATCTCTTCATTTTGAGGTTAGATTATATTTTTTTCTTGCTTTGTCAAACGTGTGTAAACATAAATTTGCAAGTTTTAGCTTTTATTACTTTATTTTTGGTAGCTCTCACTGTTTCTCCCAGAGTCAGAATGCTAAGTTCAAGAGAGCCTTGTGTTCATCCTTTGTGGTGAAAGAATACTGTTGGTACTCTGGTCATAGACTCTTAAAAAAGATAGTCTGAATTTTACATAAGCTTTGTTTCGCTGCTTCTATCACAATATGTAATTCCTGAGGCGTCATCTAATTCTTGTCATCATCCTGCTGTTATTCTTTAATATATCGCCACTCAATCCTGATCTTAATTTTGTAAAGCAGCCTTTCAAAAATGGGGAACAAGACAGTAAAATTTTTTCTTTCCTTCTTTTTTTAAGTATTTGTTACTATTTGCATGCTTCTGAAGCGTACATTACCATTTTTGCTAATACCACTGTATTTTTTACTGAGCATTTAATACAGATCAGGTACTGTGCTAAGCATCCTTGATTATATTATAGTATCTTCATTATATTAAACTTCAGAACAGTTTCTGAGGTAGATATATTTATAATAATTTTACAGATGAGAAAATGGTAGCTTAAAAATGTTGAGTAACTTACCTTGAATCATATAACTCATAATGATAAAACCAGAATTTACAACCAAGTTTGTCTAACTGCACAGAAACCATCATCTTAATCAGTCTGAGATACCCCTCCCTTACTGGTCTGTATGCCGGTTCAGGCAAATGATAGTTTAAATAGCAGTAAGAATGGATGTCCTTCTTTTTGAAACTTTGCATAGGATAAACAAGGCCTCAAGGCTTAGGACCTTCCCAATTCATATACTACCTCATTTTCTCCTTTCTGGGCTTTGCATCTACAGAAGCTATGACAAGTACCACTGTGAAAGGGAGAAGGTTTCTGGGGGCACTTAAATTCTGCTTCTTTGAATTGAGATACTCTGTCTGCTCTTGCAGGGTTACTGTCCGGCTCTGTAATTGTAAAGGCCGTGAAACACTTTCTCCCTAGTAACAAAGCTAAAACTGCACAGCTATACTAATAACAGCTGTGAGCCACATATATTTCTCCACAGGCCCCAGACTCTTCAAAGATGCTTTGGTAGGACTGAAGGGTCAGAGATGGAAAACATAGAGTAGGAGGATACTAAGTAAATTTGTTGATGTAATTGGCTAGAATTTATAGGAGGAGAAACAGTACCATGCCTTGGTCTAAGTAGATGGCTGACTCCCACTTCTCTCCTGTAATCCTCACTCTACATGATTACCAGCAGTGGCTTCAAGTTCATATTGACTCAACAGTCTATAACCTGACATCAGTTTTGCTTAGCTTTGCAAAAGGCTACAGGGCAGGGATCCTCAAAGTAGAGTTGACCTCAGTGACGTGGATAGAGGATAACTTTTGGGACCTTCATTTGCTGAGGTGCCACGACTCAAAATGAGAAGAAACAGCTGCAAACATCCATTAATAATTGAAACATGGAATGTTCGAAGTATGAATCTAGGAAAATTGGAAGTCATCAAGAATGAAATGGAACTCATAGAGATCAATATCTTATGCATTAGTAAGCTGAAATGGACTGGTATTGACTATTTTGAAACAGACAGTCGTGGTCTAGTATGCCGGGAATGACAAATGGAAGAGGAACGGCATTGCATTCATCGTCAAAAAGAACATTTCAAGATCTGTCCTGAAGTACAGTGCTATCAGTGACAGGATGATATCCGTATGTCACAAGGAAGACCGGTGAATATGACTGTTACCCATATTTACTCACCAACCATTAGTGCCAAAGATGAGGAAATTGAAGATATTTACTAACTTTTGCAGTCTGCATTTGATCAAACATACATTCCAGATGCATTGATAATTACTGGTGATAGGAATGCAAAAGTTGGAAACAAAGAAGGATAGGTAGTTGGAAAATATGGCCTTGGTGATAGAAACTGTACCAGAGACACCAGAGCCCCCATGATAGAATTTTGCATGACCGATGGCTTCTTCATTGCAAATGCCTTTTTTTAACCAACATAAACAGTGACTATACACATGGACCTTGCCAGATGGAATACACAGGAATGAAGTTGACTACATCTGTGGAAAGAGATGATGGAGAAGCTCAATATCATCAGCCAAAATAAGGTCAGGGGTCGACTGCGGAACAGACCATCAGTTGCTCGTATGCAAGTTCAGGTTGAAGCTGAAGAAAATTAAAACAAGTCCACGAAAGCCAAAGTACAACCTTGAATATATCCCACCTGAATTTAGAGACCATCTCAAGAATAGATTTGACGCATTGAAAACTAATGATTGAAGACCAGATGAGTTATGGGAAGACATCAAGGACATCACACATGAAGAAAGCAAAAGGTCATTAAAAAGACTGCAAAGAAAGAAATGACTAAAATGGATGTCAGAAGAGACTCTGAAACTTGCTTTTGAATGTAGAGTAGCTAAAGCAAACAGAACAAATGATGAGGCAAAAGAACTGAAGAGAAGATTTCAAAGGGCAACTAGAGAAGACAAAGTATTAAAATGAAATGTACAAAGACCTGGAGTTAGAAAACCAAAAGGGAAGAACATGCTAGGCATTTCTCAAGCTGAAAGAACTGAAGAAGAAATTCAAGCCTTGAGTTGTAATGTTGAAGGATTCTACAGGGAAAATATTGAACGAAGCAGGAAGCATGAAAAGAAGATCGAAGGAATACACAGTCACTGTACCAAAAAGAACTGGTCAACATTCAACCATTTCAGGAGGTAGCATATGATCAGAATCAATGTTACCAAAGGAAGAAGTCCAGTTGCACTGAAGGGAATGATGAAAAACAAGGCTCCAGGAGTTGATGGATTACCAGTTGAGATATTTCAGCAAACAGATACAACGCTGGAGGTGCTCACTCGTCTGTGCCAAGAAATTTGGAAGACAGCTACCTGGCCAACAGGCTGGAAGAGATCCATATTTATGCCCATTCCAAAGAAAGATGATCCAAGAGAGTTTGGAAACTATCAGACTGTATCATTTATATCACACACAAGTAAAATTTTGTTAAAGATCATTCAAAAGTAGTTGCAGCAGTACATCGACAGGGAACTGCCAGAAGTTCAAGCCAGATTCAGAAGAGGACGTGGAATGAGGGATATCATTGCTGTTGTCAGATGGATCTTGACTGAAAGCAAAGAATACCAGAAAGATGTTTACCTGTGTTTTATTGACTATGCAGAGGCATTTGACTCTGTGGATAACAACATATCATGGATAACACTGTGAAGAAGGGGACTTCCAGAACATTAAGTGTGCTCATGAGGAACAGGGGCAGTCGTTTGAACAGAATAAGGGGACACTGCGTGGTTTAAAGTCAAGAAAGGTGTGCGTCAGGGTTGTATGCTTTCACCATACTTATTCAACCGGTATGCTGTGCAGATAATCTGACAAGCTTTACTATATGAAGAAGAACTTGGCATCAGGATTGGAGGAAGACTCATTAGCCACCTGCAATCTGCAGATGACACAACCTTGCTTGCTGTAAGTGAAGAGGATTTGAAGCACTTACTGATGAAGATCAAAAACTACAGCCTTCAAGATGCATTACACCTCAGCATAAAACAAAAATCCTCACAACTGGACCAATAAGCAACATCATGATAAACAGAAAATATTGAAGTTGTCAGGAATTTCATTTTACTTTGATCCACAATCAACACCCATGGAAGCAGCAGTAAGGAAATCAAACAGCATATTGCATTGAGCAAATCTGCTGCCAAAGATCTTTAAAGAATTAAAAAGCAAAACTGTCACTTTGAGGACTGAGGTGTGCCTGACCTAAGCCATGATGTTTTCAGTCGCCTCATATGCATGGGAAAGCTGGACAACGAATAAGGAAGACTGAAGAAGAATTGACACCTTAGAATTACGGTGTTGGTGAAGAATATTGAACCTACCATGGGCTACCAGAAGACTGAACATATCTGTCTTGGAAAAAGTACTGCTAGAATGCTCCTTGGAAACAAGGATGGTGAGACTTTGTCTCACGTGCTTTGGAGGTGTTATCAGGAGGGACCAGTCCCTGGAGAAGGACATCATGCTTGATAAAGTAGAGGGTCAACAAAAAGGAGGAAGACCCTCAACAAGATGGATTGACACAATGGCTGCAACAATGGGCTCAAGCATAACGATTGTGAGGATGGCTCAGGACCGGGCAGTATTTCGTTCTTTTGTACATAGGGTCGCTGTGAGTGGGAACTGACTCAGCGGCACCTAACAACAACAACATAGGGCCAGGAATGGCGTCTTAGCAGTGGGAATACTTGTATTAGTCCAGGGACCGTTTTTTGGCTCATCAAGTGACGGTTTAGTTGTAAGGGAACCAGATGTGGGGGTGGGTACAGAAGCCCCCTAGTTTAGGTAAGCCACGTATTCTACAGAAACCAGCAGTTTGAAACAGCCTATGAACTTAGCTTCCAGGTTCCTCCAAGGGACATACTCAGTTAAAAGAGTTACACTGCATACAGGTAAGACAGATCCTCTGTTTCCTAACAAGTATTGTAACCCACTGCCAGCCTTCTAGTCCAGACATAGATCACCAATCAAGGATCATTTTTATAATAAATAATGTTGCCTGATATCACAGCTGACATTCAGCATTTATCTTAACCCGGTATGTTTCTAGGAAAATGGTGCTAAGGAGAGTAAGCCCAATGTAATTTTCTCATAGAGAAAGAGAATGGGTTTTGCTCACCCTTTCTCCCCACCTTCCCAGCACAGATTTCAATGGCAAGATAGTTGGTGGTAAAATGAAAAGATTACAGATGTTAACTCAGAGTTTGGAAGAGGGGTGCAGTGGGAGAGCAGAAGAGAGGCTTTTGACCTAAATGCTTTTGAGAACTTTCCATTGTTTAGATGTTACTGAAATGGTATCACTGTCATGCAGGAGGCAGTACTATTGATTCTAGAAAGCTGAAGGGATAAAATGGGGCTCAGAGAAAAGATAGCCTTCTAGGCTCAAGAGTGTGAGGTAAAGAAAACAAACTTTGCTTTTAGGTTGTTCGGCCCTGTTTACTAGGATGAAGGAATTAGGCATTTGGCAGAAATTTTGAATAATAAAAATTGATTGCTTCAACTGAACACTTCCTTGGAAGCTTTAAAATAACAGAGGGTGATGCAGGAGGCTGAGAGTAATATTATTGGCTCTGTGTTCTGTGAATTTTCCAAAAGGCAGGAAGATGGCTGAGGGGTGGGCTTTATCTTCATTGGACCATTTGCCTACCATCTCTTCCAAAGTAGCACTTGTAGTTTGCTCCATTCATCACAAAACTTGTTTTGCCTTGGCACTTGAAAACAGGTAACAGAGCCTGAAATTTTGTATATTTCCAAAGGTAACCAGATACCATGGAGACATACTCCCATGAGTAACTTGGAATAGGAGGTGTTGATATTTGAGCAGGATCGATTTACACCATAGATTTAAAAGTCTTTAATTACAAAATTTCACACAACCTAGGTCAAGTAAGCACACTGATAAATGAATTTTGAAAATTCAGAATTCTACGTATGTTATAATAAAAATTATGGGTATTGTAAAACAGAAGATCGTATCCAACTCCAACAAGCCTATGCTTATTTGTACGTTATATAATTATAGATTATGTTATACATATAATGTATATATAGTGATTAGATTACTATTAGTTTATTTGCTATTAAGGTCAAGGATTCTTGCGTGTTTATTTCAGAACTTTACCTTTTGACAAGTTGGTCCAGAGGGCAGCTGAAGAAAAGCATAAAGAATTCTTTATTTCAGAGGTAATTGTTTCAAACATACTTGTTTTGAAAGCATTAATATCTATATACTGAATGGATTTTCTTTAAAAAGAACATTAGATATACAAAACTATAGCCTTTTCTGATAGCCGTTCTTAAAGTTTGGCTGGGTATACCATAGATCCTAGCTCTGCTATTCATTAGCTTTCAGCCAGATTACTTTTTCTGTGCCTTAGTATACTCGTGTATAAAATGGAGATAATAGCAGTTCCTACTTCATAAGGTTTGTGTGGAGATTGATTAAATAAAAGCTATGAAGTTTTTAGCACAGTTACTAACACATAGAAACTATTCATTAAATGTTAGCTTTTAATATCAATTCCAGATTTTAAAAAAATTATTAAAAGTATAGGCTATTTTATCTCTTGTTCTACATTTGTATTATATTAAAGAAGTTTGTTGTCGGCCCTCAGAAATAGTTTTTGAGATCATATGTGCTATACAAATGGGAATGCTTTTATTAATAGTCTTAGGACACTAAGAGTATAAATAAATTTCGAGCATAACATCTAAAATAAGCGTTACGGTTGTTAAAATTAATTTTACTTATTGTTTTGTGGATCCAGTCATTTTTGCAAGCAACATGTAAAAACATTTCTTCATATGGCCACCAGAGAGCGTTAGTAGAAAGGGTAAGATAACTGAAATTTTTAGAAAACTGCTTAATTGGGTTAGATTTTAAGACTTGTATCCTTCCTTCTTTACTTCCTAATGTTTTTAAATGAATGCTGATGTAATTTTTCTTTGGGATGTTTAAGGATGAGAAGTACTACTTACGGTCACTTGGGGAAGATCCTAGAAAGGTAAAAATTATGAATGTAAAACAATTGCTTAAAATCTAAATGGATGTATCTATGTTAACTGGAGCTATAATTTTTGCACTTACTGCCTGACATACAACCTGTTTTATACTTCTCCATTCTTTTCTCACTGATTCGTGCCCCTGAATAAGAAATATGATTATTAAAAGTTGATTACTTAACTTTCAGGTAGAACTATAGAATCTTAGTGTTTAAAGTCATCTTTAACTAGTCAGTTTGGTTGTAAAATATGATGCATCTCCACACGACTAAGAAATTCCTTCTACTGCATATTTATAGATGATTATTCAGCTAATACAATTCTAATCCAAAATAATTATAAAAAAATCCTGAATAATTTATTATGTAGGCTTTGACAGTAGGAGTGAATGTCTTTTGGAAGCACCTTCTGAATGCTGTGACATGTATTCTGAGTCAGATTAATATGGCTACAGTGTCGAGGAGTGGTCCCTAAAATGGTATAAGTAAAATGATGTGTTTTCTTTTTATCTTATTATTTAGTTCTTTACTTTCTCCCTTTTTTTCTTCTTCTTTAGTTTAACCCACAGGTTTTATATAGTTGATGGCCCTCCAGTTTTTGACTCCTGAACTTAACAAGCTTAGTATTAGAATAGATGACAGTTGTATAATACTTGATTAAAATAAGAACAACCTTTCTATTTATTAAGCATATTGAGCTTAATAATAGTAATACTGTTGAATCTGTAGTTCTGTTGTATAGTCTGTTATTCCTTCATTTGAAAGATCATGTGTTGGCAGATAGACTGTCACATCATAGTATGTTAAAGCAGTGAACCACGTTTTACTCCATTCTTCCTTAATATTATAGGATCTGGTGGCGGCCTTAGATAAAATAAACATTATGCCAATATTGTGTTTACTATTAAAATTCTTACTTTCCTGACATTTTTTATCTTATGTTTTATTGTTATGTTTCTCTCAATGCAGGATATCGCGGATATCAGAAAGCAGTTTCCCTTATTGGAAGGAGATATTAAGTTCCCAGACTTCTTCAAAGAGCAGCAGTTCTTTTCAAGTGTTTTTCGTATTAGCTCACCAGGATTACAACTTTGGACTCACTATGATGTATGCTACATAAATGTGAAATCTAAAGCTACTTACAGATTTAACATGCCCAGTTTCAGCTTTTTATAGGCTACCCTAAAGATCTTGGACATATAATTTGCTGAAACATGAGTTTTGAAATTGAAGTGTTCTGCTAGGTGGTGATGTGAGAGTAAATTAGTTAGTTAGTTCTTCACATTTGCATTTCTCTGTGGTCTTGTTCTTGATTTATCATCATGTATATGCTAAGTTTTATGAAGAGGTTTTTTGTGTGTGAAAATTGGCCACAAGAGGGGGGGATATTGTGAAAGTGGAAAAAGTGATAAGTTTGTGGTATGAAGATGTGTATATGATGCACTCTGGATGGAACTGTTATTCAGGAGAAAGGCAAAAGCTTGTAGAGAGCCGTTTCCAATGGTAAGAATTTGGGGATATCTGAAGGCCTTACGATATATATCCCCTGACAGTGTCAAATGTCTGCTGTATTTGTAGGGCAGCAAGATACATAGAATATTGATCTTGATTATTTTATTTTCTCTCTAGTGTAATAATTTTATTTTCTTAAATGAGTCTGTATTCTGTGTATGCACATACATAGAGATGTTTTTAAAGTCTTAAAAATGCTGATACTGTATATGGTTTGGGGAGCCCTGGTGGTGCAGTGGTTAAAGCGCTTGGCTGCTAGCTGAAAGGTAGGCAGTTCCAACCCACCAGCCACTCTGCATGGGAAAGATGTGGCAGTTTGCTTCCGTAAAGATTACAGCCTTGGAAACCCTATGGGGGCAATTCTACTCTGTCCTGTAGGGTTACTTTGAGTTGGAATCGACTGGATGGCAGTAGGTTTGTTTTTTGGTGTGATTTGGGAGAAACTTAGAAAGTTAAAATAATACCTGATAGGTTTCCAAAGAATGAAGTTTTTTTTTTTTAAAGTTCTAAATCAAACTATCATGTCTAATGCATGTATTTTATAATTTAGCGGAGGACCTCTTGGTAGAATTTCAACATAGTAACTATGATTAAATGAAATAGACATGAAATCTTAGCATATTGTTTTATAAAGGTCTTACATGAACAACATGGTGAGAAAATAATGTGGTAGCTCAGATACGTTTTTAATTATGTTCCATGACTGTTTTAAATTTTAAGTGGTCTCTCTTTTACCTGGAGTTATAATGGAATATAATATATAAAGCTTTTCTTAATGTACAAGTCAGTCAAAGGAATGGTAACTATAAATATATAGTTAAGATCCAAAACAAGTAAAGGATTACTGTTAAAAGGAGAAGTGCTTTGGTAGAAGGGATATATTAATAATCATAAATACATTTTCTAATTCCTTATCTGCGACTTAAGTGGCTCTGCCTTTTAAAATTTTTCACAATTTGTAGCAAGAAAGTACCCTTGCGTACACAGGAAAAGTCAAAAGTTCCATTATTAGGTACATTAAAACATTTGTCAGATTACATTCCTAAGGAAATGATCTAGAAATCATTATACCTAAATCCAAATTAAGGAGCCCTGGTAGAGTGGTGGTTAAGTGCTCAGCTGGTAACCAAAAGGTTGGTAATTCGAACCCACCAGCCACTCTGTGAAAGAAAGATGTGGCAGTCTGCTTCGTAAAGATTTACAGCCTTGGAAACCCTATGGGGTAGTTCTGTTCTGTCCTTTAGGGTTGCTATCAGTCAGAATCGACTCAGTGGCTACAGGTTTATAGCCAGATTACGGTTGGCCATATATTGAAAGAGTTGAGCAGTGATTGCAGCAGAACCTTGTATTTTCCAAGGGCTTTCAATCTGTGGTCTCATGCTGGCCTTATAGCATTCCTTGACAGATAAGTGAAATAAATATTAACCAAGGAGAGCCTCAGATAGGTTTAACTACTCTCACTGCCGGTTAATGGTGGGGCAAGAGTAAATAGTTTTCTGGACTCCAGGTTTCCTAATGGCTTACTAGACCTTTCCATTTTAAGGCAGTGCTTCAGAAATGTCTTTAAAAAGGCACAGTTGTATGTGGGATACAAATGTTTTCATTGTTATATTACAATGTTCCTATAAGGATTTTAGGTCATATAAGTCCTTATTGAAAAAGACAACATTTTTGCTAAAGGATAGGATTTATGGTAAACTGTTCGGAACATTATTGGTTCTATTTATTTGAATTTTAGATACTGCTTATCTGTAAGTTCTTATTGGTCTTCAGGTTATGGATAACTTCTTAATACAAGTGACAGGAAAAAAGCGTGTTGTACTGTTCAGTCCTCGAGATGCCCAGTATTTATATTTATCAGGTATGTTCTTTTTTTATTACATCTGTATTTCTAAAGTCTAGTTTATTCAGTTACTCTTTTTGAGAACTCTCTTTATCCCCGTAGAACATCTTAGGACTTCTTCCTAATTATGATGTATTGTGTTCTCCATTGTGTATGTGTATACAGGTAATGATAGGCTATATGAAGAATGAGATTTTTCAGCTTATCTTAATTATATTACAAGGGTGCCAATGGTCATAATTAGAGGGTGGGTCATTGAAAATTGTCTTAGGTTTCAGAATAGTTATTGTTCTCACCATGTAGGTTCAGTAACTGTACAGAAAAAAATTTATATTTGTGATTACTTTTTTAAAAATGCTAACGTTTTTCAATCTTTATTATCCTTTTCTTGGAACTTTTTAGGTACTAAATCAGCAGTGCTGAATATAGATAACCCAGACTTGGCTAAGTACCCACTGTTTTCCAATGCTAGAAGATATGAATGTTCCCTTGAAGCTGGAGATGTATTATTCATTCCTGGTAAGATTTCTAAAACTCAGTAGTGTGCTATTTATAAAATCTGTACTCTGTCACTCATCCTTTGTGATTTTTTAGGACAAAAGTGTATTTGTTATATACAGGAGACTTCTTTACATAACTGTGTGTGTGTGTGTTTAAAGTGTTGTGGTGGTGGTGGTGGTGGTGGTTAGGTGCCCTCAAGTTGATTCTGATTCCGTCTCTATGATGTTTAAAGTACACTTAGGCAAATTTTTATAAAATTAAGTCTAATTTTTCTGAGCCAACCATATAAATACATTATTATATTCTAAGTTATTTTATTAAATGACGTCACTAAGTCACTTTATATTTGGGAAAAATTTGTGCCTATTTGTTTTTTTCTTAATCATTTTATTTATAAAATAGTTACATATCTTAGAACTATATCACTTAAGTGTTTACCAAGAAATAGTAGATATTTTTCAAAATCAAAATAGAGATTTTATTAAATACCAAGATTTTATAATCTCAACCTGTGATATCTTTTGTATTATTTTTCTATAACAGTCTGAATTTGTGTCAGTTAATTTCTTTGTGTAGTAAATAGGCATTAGTTTGAAAGTCCATAAAATTTCCATGTTATTACTAATCAGAGTGATGTAATTAACATGTGTAATTAATATTTAGAAGTGAACACCTGAAGGTTATAAAAATCATAATTAAGATTAAAGGAATACATTAAGAACTTCTGTTTATATAGTTGTATTTCCTATATCTAAATGAATGCATTAATAATTATTAATACCTCTTTTTGGTGATAAAAATAAAAAAGCATTTTAAAATAAAAATCTGATGATCTCACTTGGGGTTAGATTATAAATTCCTTGAGGACAAGAAGCTATGTTTTGTTAATCTTTGTATTCCCCAAGGGGCTTAATACAATGTCCTTTATATTTGATACCTTGACTTATTATTCCTAAATTCACTGAAAATAACCAGCACATTAATACTTAAATGGCAGTGCCATTTTTTAAATTTGTACTTAAATTTTTGGTTTTTATATCTTGGAAGCACGGTTAAGGGCTATGCAGTTTTCCCTTATTCTGTATAGGATTTTGAAAAAATACTGAACATTTGCATATATTTTTAAACAAAAGCTCCAGCTTTAGATTTAAATTTAACAGTGTAGTTAGGTTTTTCTCCTATTATATTGAATTTAAAAGAAAAGATTTTTGAAAGAATAGTTAAGAGTGAAACCATGTTTGAAAACTAGTTATGCAAATCAAAATATTGTAAGCTTTTGTTTTTCCTAGAGCACTCTTAGAATGAGTTTGTTTCTAAAATTTAGCATTTTGTAATTTTTCCTTTTTGCATTTCACAAGATTAAACATTTTTTGATGTGATTAATATTTCATCTTTGTTATATTGTGATGCTGCTTTAGTATTCCTGTAGTGCCTACAGGAATATTTTGAAAATGTTTAGATTTAGTTGAAAACAAAGAAACTTTCTAGTGGGAGTAAAAAATTAATTAGCTATATAATATGATAAAGTTCACTTTTCTCTTCCACAGTCAAAATATTTGCTTTAGGTTTATATAGTTAAGCTGAAAGAAATAGAAATGATTATAATTGTATCAGAAATATAAAACTGAGAGGCCACAATGAAACCCAAATTTAAGCAAGTTAGAAAAACAAATTGCATCTTGTACAGGAAGTCTTTGAGAACAAAAGTATGATATTACTGTACTGAATCAGAAAAGGCCAAAGATTCTCCTCAAATAATTGAAATGTTCTGTGTACAAAAAATAAATACCTTTGATGTGGTTGCATGACTCGGAGGTGTAAACAAGTAACACAAACCACAGTCCCAAATTAGAGAACTACAAAACATATACAGCTTTCTTATGTCTTTCAAGTTAAAAGGAAAAATTGCTATTTCCAAAGGTTTTAAAAGTAGGGGTTGTGCTATTGACACTTTAAATTGGTTGGCAATTCACAAAAGTTAAAATGATTCTGTTAAAAGCTAAGAGTGTGCTAACGAAGGGATCTGGTTACAAGAATTATTTCTTACATTGGCTATATGTAATTCGTGATATTTCACTGACATTTTGGTTTTTTTTTTAACTGTAGGTTTTATTTTTAACTTGTTTTTTTTAAAACGTTCTCCAGCTTTATGGTTCCATAATGTAATTTCTGAAGAGTTTGGAGTGGGAGTGAATGTCTTTTGGAAGCACCTTCCTTCTGAATGCTATGATAAGACAGATACCTATGGAAACAAAGATCCTACAGCAGCATCAAGAGCGGCACAAATTTTAGACAGAGCCTTAAAAACATTGGCTGAATTACCAGAGGAATACAGGGACTTCTATGCACGGCGAATGGTCTTACACATCCAAGACAAAGCCTACAGCAAGAACTTTGAGTAAATAAAGCAGTACTAATAGATATAAACTTTTTAATAAAATTTAGCTCAAACGTTGGAAAAATATAATGATATGAATTATTTCTTTTTAAATTCTCTTTATTAAAATAGTATAGATAAATCAGTCTCAGATTTATAGATTAAATAAGTATGAAGGGGTGTTTGTTTGGTTTCTACTTAATACAGATTGTTACAGTTGAAAGAATGCTGTACTGGTACCACTCTAGCTTTCAGAGGCAAGTAAGTGAAAATCCAAATTTAAATTATTTAAACAATAAGAAAATGTATTGACTGGTGACAAATGAAGTCTTCTAGTAGACTGGGCTTCATTGTTTCTGCTCCAGTGATTCAGTAGTGTCACCAGGAACCTAGGTTTTTTTCTTCCCCCTCTCTTTTCAGCCACAGCGTTGGCATCATCCTTAGGCTGGCTACCCTCGTGGTTGTGGGATAATTGCCAGGAGCAACTGGGGCCGTGTGCATCTTCATTTACATGCAGCGGAAGAGTCAGGCTGGCTTCCAGGGGCCCTCTCTTAATATGAGAAAGCTTCCCCAGAATTCTATAGCAAATCTTTGGATTTCATTGATCTAAAGAGTTCAGACCTGTCTATCGCTGTGCCAGCCACTGGCAAAGGGTATGGAATAGATGGCACTTCGGCCACTCAAGTCTACTCCTAGAGCTAGGATTGAATCATCTTCCTCTGAGACACGTGAGGTATATATGGGGCAGAATGTATAAGTTTTTTAAAATCAGGATTATGATAAAGGAAAAAAGGTGGACAACGAGCAGTCCTCGTACATTTGCCTAGAATCTGAATCTTTTGAGGAACATTTAAAAATATACAGATGTCTAGGCCCGAAACTAATATATACTCTCATTCAGTACATTTGGGATTTGGTATAGTACCTATATTTAATAGACCTCACAATTGTTTTGATGCATAATTACGATTGAGAACCACTGAATTAAGATGATGCTAATTTGGATTATTAGTTTTGTGATTTGTCTGATCCTGGTTTTTCTTGCCTATGGCTGCCCCATCTTCAGTTTTTGAATTTTGGAAAATATTCAGATTCGTTTTTATAACTAATTTAGCTTTAACGTAACTGAAAATTTCCCCACTGAACACTTCCTCCCTTCCTTTTTCAAAGAAAAATTTTTTAGAATGAGACACCCTAATAATGTTGCTATTGAAAGACAATGAGCCATTGTATGTGGATCTGTGCCATGCTTTGTTTTGCACTTAGTAATTACATTGCAATGTCATTGAAGAAAGCCCCAGTACATTTAGTGAGGACAAAGGTACCCACGTAAAGCAATCTCAGAGTACCTGAATTTGGGGCATGTTAATTTGGGAAAAAAAAAACATTTTCTATATTGAAGATAATCTGTCTACTCATATCCTGTACACAGAATTGGATTAAGTTCAGATGTAAAAAGCAAATTACATTGTAAATAAAGGAGAAGTATCTAAAAAAGAAATTATTCTGAATTTCCTGGGTGTCTTTGGGAAGAGATAATTATTTAGGACAACAGGTGGAAAAGTCTGTTAGAAAAGGAATCGTTTTAATAGGCAGATCTAATTATTAGATTTTGATCTGTGGTTATTTCTTAGGCTAAGCAAAGAACTTCATTAATGATTTATTTTCTTTCAGAAAGAAAGGAGATAAAACCCCTTTTCTTAGTTTGCAGAGTATTTATAGTCAGCTTTTTAATAAGCCTTCCTTAGTTTTGCTTTTTTTTAAACCAGTAAAAGAATCTGTAAAGTATATACCCGGAATCTCGTAGGAAACTTGGAAGTAAAACTGAGTTTCCCACTGAATATTCATTTTAATTCACTTTGTTTATTTTGGAAGCAAACTATGTGACCTTAAAACCAAAAAACCCATTGCCGTTGAGTTGATTCGGACTCATAGTGACCCTATAGGACAGAGTAGAACTTCCTGGTAGGATTTTGAAGGATTGGCTGGTGGATTTGAACTGCCAACCTTTGGGATAGCAGCGGAGCTCTTAATCACTGTGCCACTGGGGCTCCATTTGACCTTCGGCAAGTTAAATAACCTTTCTGAAACTTCCTTAATAAAAATAAAGCTAACATGTACATACCAAAAAAAAAAACCCGTTGCTGTCAAGTCAATTCTGACTCATAGTTACCCTATAGGACAGAGTAGAACTGCTACAGAAAGTTTCCAAGGAGCAGCTGGTGGATTTGAACTGCCACCCTTTTGGTTAGCAGCCATACTCTTAACCACTACACCACCAGGGCTCCAACATGTCCATAGGGTTGTTGAAAAATGTAAGGAGATAGTTCAAGGGCAGGCCGATAGTCATGGCTAGTGCTAGTTCTTCCATTTTCTTCCTTTGCTGAGAGACAGACGAGGTGGCACCTGTTGCAATATTAAATTATAATACTTAGAAAGCTAGAGATGAGCCCTTTGGAAAGTTTTAAAATTATTTTCCTGGTCATGGTATTTAACGTTAGAATCTGTTTATTTTAAATACAAAATAATCTTTCAAGGTTAAGACCATATAGGATGTTTTAAAGTATAAAATATAGTACGTTAGCTGCAAGTTCTTAGGAATTCCAAATCATAAAATTTTATTGCTGGAAAGGATCTTAGAAATAGTCTTCATCAACCCACACTGCTTAACTGACTGTCCAGGCTTACACAGCTGAGTGACAGAAACTGAGAATCCATTGTGGTGACCGGATTGCTAATTCTCTGTTCTTTCTCCTTTATGTGCAGCACATCTCAAATACTTTCGAATAGATTATATAGTTTTTCTTTGGCTACAGAATTTGAGGAATTGACCTGATGCATAAAGAATTTTTTTTACTTTACAAAAGTTTTCACTGCACAGCTTGTTGCAGGTAACGATTTAAAGTAAAACTAATGATGGATAGGTAGACAATGGAGTGTAATATATAAATGGAATACTAGGCAGTCAAAGAATGAAGAAGTATATGGACTGGCATGGAATTTTTCCAAGGTAATTAGATGAAAAACAGGTGTGAAACTATGCTGCAATTTGTGTAAGATAAAGATATACTGTATATAAGCATTTATTTGTATATGTACAGAATTATTTCTGTGATACACAGAAACTAGTGGTAGTGGTTGCCTCTAAGAAAAGATTGAATAACTAGGTGGGCAAACTGGAAACTAGTTTTGTATTTTTTCATTTTTTTTGTCTCTGTACCTATACTTTAAAAATACTATGTGTAAAGTATAATTTTTAGGTTTTCATGAACATTAACAGTATTTGTCTTGGTACACAGTTGCATTGGAATTGTATTTATTCAGTAATTTCAGACTCACGTTCATGAAATGCTAAAACAAGGGAAACAAAGTCAACAAAGCTTATTTCATAACTTTCCATCCTTCTGCAGCTGGCAGTCCTTGGAAACCCTATGGGGCGGTTCTACTCTGTCCTTGGCAGTCACCCTCCTGTCACTGGTGTTATCCTAAGTCTTGTTTTGAGCATATAAGCCATGAATGTTTGGGTGTCTCAAATATGCCTCAATTGTATTTTTTTTGTTAGGTTAAATGGGATACCAAAATAAACCATCCTAAAGTAACTCAGCCTATATCTACCAGTAAGAGCTGCTGGGCTTTGCTGTGCTTCTCTGCCTTTGTAAAGAACAACCTGAATTTACAGATTAGTGTGTCTGGTGTTAGTGGTTAAGTGTTCGGCTACTAACAAAGGTCTGCAGTTAGAGCCCACACCAGAGGCCCCACGGGAGAAAAGACCTGGCGATCTGCTTCCATAATGATTACAGCGTAGGAAACCCCACAGGGCAGTTCTACTCTATCTTCTACGGTTGCTATGAGTCCGCTTCGACTGACACACACACATCCACATCTTACCCTCTAATGCATATTTTTCCTAAACAAAAACACCAAACCCATTGCCATCGAGTCATTTTATTGTGCTTTAAGTGAAAGTTTACAATTCAAGTTAGTCTCACACAAAAATTTATAGTTACGTGACCCTTGTTGCTCTCCCTATACTGTAACAGCACACTCCTGCTTTCCACCCCAGATTTCCCATGTCCATTCAGCCAGCTCCTGACCCTCT